CATTGCATTGCATTGCATTACATTACATTACATTGCATTGCATTGCATTGCATTGCATTACATTACATTGCATTGCATTACATTACATTACATTACATTGCATTGCATTGCATTGCATTACATTGCATTGCATTGCATTGCATTACATTACATTACATTACATTACATACATATATGGATATTATATGGATCATATGTGGGTTATGAAGGTATTTTCACCTTTTACATCCATCCCAGGGACTGTTGAGGCGCCATCTTGCGCCTGCTGATTTTCTCACGCCTGGACTCAGTGGATCGGTTACCGCCTGGTACCCTCTGGTAAACTGGTGATTTAATGCTGATTTAATGGTGATTTCATGGTGATTTCATGGTGATTTCATGGTGATTTAGTGGAATAATGGTGATTAATGGAGGTTTAACCTCTGGTAAACTGTTACAAAACTATCGAAAATCACCATTTTTACTATGTAATCAACGGACTTTCTATGGACATTTTCAAAAGCTATGTAACAAATTACCAGAAGGTAATTCAAAATAGGTCCAAAACATGGCCCGTTTGTAGATGGTGTACCTATCAAAATGCTGATTTTCCATAGAGATGTTCACGGGGTCACCATCATCAGCATCGTCAAAACCATCATCAAAAACATAAACATCACTCCCAAAACAAAATCAGACAGCAATTGTGATGAACTGAGGTTTTTCAAAAGAAACAGCCGGGCTTTTGACGATGAAACCACGTGCGGTCATCAGCGCATGTGCCGTGTCACGGGGGTAGGACGCCCAACATCTGTATCTTTGGACAATTGCTACGGCCTGAGTCAGGGCGTATGGGTGTTTCTTAGCATTTTGGGGATCCCCAACTCCCCTAACTCACCATGGGTTTCCATACGAAGTCATGGCATGTCATGGCCATCCATGACGACTGGATGATGACTGGGGGTCAACCCTTATGAAAACAAGGCGAAACACAAAGTTACAAGCTACCTATGACTGGCAAAGGGAGCCTTCTGCCACAGTGAATGAGACAAAACACATTTCAAATTAAATGCTGTAATGATGGAAACCTAATAATCACAAACCTACCATTTACAGATGGTTTATGCAACCCGTTTATAGTCTCCAGTCACCTCTTAGCGTCCATGGTTCGCATGTCCAACTTCTTTGATTTCCAAAGATTTCTGATCTGAGCCTCAAAAGGCTCAATGATACACTGATAAAATTTCTGTTGCTCGGGGGATCTCTTTGGTACTTCCAATCTTATAAAATCCCAGCTGGCTACTTGGTGGCTCATCCCACTAAGTAAGTGGGTTATAAAAACCTGGTTACCAGTGGGATGAGTAGGGTCAATCCACTCAAAAAACTAGGGATATACATGGATATACCCTCTGGTAATTTAACATAGCTATTGAAAATGGCCATTTATAGTTGATTTACCCATTAAAAATTGTGATTTTCATTGATTTTCCATAGTTATGTTAGTTTACCAGAGGGTAACCCACTTATAGTAAGTAGGATGAGCCACCAGCCGTAGTGGTTGAACTACCCGTCCCCACAGTCGCTGGCCGCACCTTCACAAAACTGCTGAACCGCGGCACGGCCGCCGGGGGAAGTTGCGGGACGATGGAGAAAAATCCAGCAGCAACACTTCATCAAACAATCAAGTTTTGGCAACAGGATGCATCAAACTCCCAAGTAAGAAAATCCCATTTGAAGTGTTTATGAAGTGTTTATTAATGAAGTATGGATGCATCAAACAGGCTGTTTCCATACTTGGGAGCGCATTCCAATTAGTAAGTGGTTATTTAAATTTATTTAATCATTTAATCTATACTTGGGGTGCATCCCACATCAAAAAACTGGGAATTTTCATGTGGGCTTCTGAGCTACTTACCAGCTGGGATGCACGTCCTAATTTTCCGCGGTTCTGTCTTAGTGGGGAAGGTTTCAATTTGGGCCAAACGTGGCCAAGCAACATCAAATGAATAAAGGTCAAGGGACAGTCATATGCTTGTACTTTAAAGATCTTTAAAGTACTTCTTTGTGCAATTTTTGTCCCAACACGGGAGCAGCAGCCTGGGAGGATTCAACGAAAGTGAAGCGTGCTGAAGGAATTCGTGAAGGCATAAGAAATCATAAGAACTTGGATACTCTGTTTCTAAACGCAGGCATAAGAACTAAGTTTTCCATGTTTTTCCTAAATTTTCCAAACTGTGGATCATTTTCCCAAACAGGGTACAGCCATCTTGCGGGGCGTCCCTTGTCTGTGATCATGAGCGCTGTACCAGGTCACCCTTTCGTTTCGACGACAAGCTGATGAAACAACATATCAATGGCCATTTCACCGATTTATTGGAGGTACATAGTGTTTTTTTATCTTAAGGCCTATGGATAATGTAAGGGAATCTCCCAGCAAAATATGGCCAACAATATGGTACTAACGTACCTCCATTTTAGGATCCTGAAATTCCCATTGAACAGTCATGGTGAATCTTGGATTTCATGCAGATATCGCATGAAAAGATGAGGTCAGAATGTGTTGTTGGATATATATATATATTGAGTTTTCTGAAGTTATGGGGGGTACCCCAAAATATATGGTTTATAATGGAAAATCCATCTATAAATGGATGATTTGGGGTACCCCTAATTTAGGAAACGACCATATCATACCATATCATATCATATCATATCAATCAATCTATCTTGCTAAGCAATAATCCATCAAGCAATTATTCACCGATTTTTTTGTTCACTTACAGCAACGGCTTGTATGAAATATACTCAGAAATTGACCCATTGTTAATCACAAAAAAACATCTATTCTGAATCTCCATCATTGATCCAATGGACATGAAAAACAAACTTGATCCAGCAAATCCAGCAGTATTAGATCACCCAACCTTGAATTTCAGGGTGCTATCATGATTGTTAGTTGGTTGGTTGGACAAACAATCCAGCCATTCTTCACTGCTTCACCCAGCATTGAACAAAAATCATCCGGTGTCATCAAAGATGACTGGGAACATCAGCGAACTAGCCATGGAGGTTTAGTTCGCTGGGAACATCATCGAACTAAATGGTAGATTGTCCAGCTAGTCATGTTTGATTGCCAAAGGCTAAATAAAAAACACAAAAAAGCATGGATTAGTTTGAGGGAACACCTAGAGGAAACCATTGTTTAAGGATAAAGTTTGTTGGTGGGTCCAGTTTCAATTTTCCAAACGAAACCAATTCTGACATTGGTCAAATAGTCAACTCAACATGTTTACGGATAAAAACACCATCTCTCCTGCCTCTGAGAAACACAATCGAATACCTCCGAGTTTTGAACACCTCTCGCTACATCCAGCACAAAACTTGTGGTTCACCAATTGCAATCCTGCAGGATGGGCCCCCCAGTGATGTGAACGTTGGTTTATAAACCATGAATTAATCCCCATTAACTATAGTTATATATTTATAATATAATATATATATATCTATCTACCATAAACCATCGTTAAATCAGCCACTTTTTGTTAGGCAACTGAACGCTATCGCTCGACATTTTGGGGGCCAAAAAAACCTGTAGTTTTTTAACCCCCATTCTGATGATGGAGAAAAACCCATCTCGCTGGAGAAGTAGGCTACTTTTCTCAACTCAAAAAACTAGGGTTTTTACTAAGCTACTTACAAAATCTGGTTGGTGGTTTCAACCCCTCTGAAAAATATGAAAGTCAGATTGGATCATCATCCCCAATCTGGTTGGGGGACAAAAAACATGTTCCAAACCACCAACCAGAAATAACTAGGGTTATAATAACTTACCAAATAGGATGCCCAGAAAAAAAAGGTGAACTGTTCGTAAGCTACTTACGATCCCTGGGAGCCACCAGGGAGTAAGTCATGGCGGCAGGACCAGGAGTGGTAGCGGCCTTGTCTTTTCCAGGCCAACGTCCTTTGATGGAGTACCTGGCTGGGGAAAGACACTTATGCAGGTATTCATGCAACCATGGTTTCGATAATGATTAATTATAATGATCAATAATGGTTAATAATAGTTTTAATAATGGTTAATAATGGTGAATAGTGGCCAATGGCTAATAATGGTGAATGAGGGTTATTAATGGCAATTAACTCTTATTAAAGGTTTAATGGCTTTAATAAGAGTTAATCATGATGGTTGTATTAAGGGCCAAGGGCTTTTTACAAAGGGTTCATAGGAGCTTTTTTCATTCTCATTAATGGGTATTGTATCGCTATGGTAATTTATATATTGGCAATAACCTCCAGAAGTTGGGATAATATCTTAATATGGTAATGACCTCCAGAAGTTGGGGCGCAGTTGGGGTTATTGATGGCAATAGCTCTGTTTGATATTATAATATTGGTTATTAATTCTTATTAATGGCTATTAATGCTTGAAACTATGGCAATATATGGTATTCTAACCTCCATAAGTTGGAATATGGGCCCGCTACAACTATGGTGAAGTACGGGAACTCTATCAACTATTAATAAATGTATCATAATATATACGAGTGAGGGATCCAAAAAAGTATTCCGGATCAAACAAAAATTAAAACATTGGTATCAAAAAAACATATTTCCTACAAAAATATATTTCAATGGTGGGTTGGATATATATGTTTTTGATCCAAAATATTTTCTTGATCAGGCAACGGGAGGATCCAAATGCTCTAGCTCGCCACTCGAAGGCATCAAAAAAAGTTATTCCAGACAGAAATAGACTTTGATGTTGGGTCTAGATTGCCACTTGGAGTAGCTATCCAAAATATGAATCCATTTCGGGTTGGTTCAAGATTCATCGATGGTTGTTTTAGGGTCTATTTGGAGTTGGTTTGAAGTTTTTTTGGGGGGTCGGTATAGGGTCTGTTTAAAGTTTGTCTGCGTTTGCTTTAGGGTTGGATTAGGTTTATTTAGGGATCGGTGCGTGCATGTAAATCGTTGTAAATATACATATCCATATATATATACTTATTTATTGATATTTGATACTATATGATCATATACACAGGGCAAGGGATCAAAAAATGTTCTGGGATCAAACATATTCCCAAGAGATCTGGAAAATGATGTATATATGATATTATATGTAAATAATATTAAATAGTATGTTCATATATATATATTAGTTTCTTGTGTATAACTGTATATATATATATAGGTAGAGAGAGAAAGATATACACACATATAAAAAATATCTAAATACATGGAAAAACAAATATATATATATATATATATATTCATGACATGCAGAGAAGTGTATTTCAAGTGTGCAAAGTTGGACTTGAGCCTTGGGGGGAGGGCGCAGCGCTTCCCCCCAAAGCAGAATGACAATACTTGTTTTCACAGGCAATAATGTTTGAATATGGTACTCAATGTGTTTATCATGTTGAACAGGCCCCTTGTGAACATGTAGAATGTAGGCTGGGGATGGTTGAGGCACCACGGTGTTGGGTGAAAAACGGCACAGATAGTTGCAATGAATGTTATGACAGTGTCGGTTTAGGATTTGTTTAAGGTTGGTTTAAGGTTTATCTAGGGTTGGTTTTGGGGTTCTTTAGGCTTGGTCTGGGGTTTCTTTAGGTTTGGTTCAGGGTGTTTCTAAAGTTGGCCCAATCTTCTTCTTCAAAGTTGGTTTAGGATCCAGTTGAAGTTTGTTTAAGGTTGGTTGCAGGGTTTCTTTAGGGATAACATATGTGCATATAAAGTACCTAAAAATATGTGCATGTGGAGGGGGGGGGATGAATATGCTTATATGTATGATATGGTTATGTAAATATATATAAATATATGAATATGATTATATTATATGATATTCCCTCCTTCCTTCCTTCCTTCCTTCCTTTCTTTCTTTCATTCCTTTCCCTCCCTTCCTTCCTTTCTTTCTTTATTTCTTTCTTTCTTTCTTTCCTTCTTTCTTTCTTTCTTTCTTTCCTCCTCCTTTCCTATTCAAACAAATAATATTTTTTTTTGATCCGGATTTTTTTGATCCAGAATAGTTTTTTTTTTGATCCGGGATTTTCTACTCCAGGGTGTAGTTGGGGTTATTAATGGATGTAGCATGGTATAACTATGTTTAATAAAGGTTACTGTTTTCATGTTTAACAATGGTTATTAATTATTGTTAATAGCTATGGCTTCTGGCCTGGATGGTCTCTCCAGAATTGGGTGGCAAGTGCCCGGGACGATGAAGAGATCGGTTGACCTTTTGAGTTCGAATGTCTTGCCGTCTGGGAGTGCTTGGTCTAACCCAAATCTCAGACACAAACTTTACAGAATATATCCAGTGGTTATAGATGAACATTTATCCATCTATAGAATATATCCAGTTATGTTATTCAGTGGTTATAGTGCTTTTATAGTGGTTTTACAGAATATATCCATAGATGGATAACCATATATCCAGTGGTTATAATGCTTTTTTTAAACAACCAAAAGAGCCAAAACAGTCCTGTGACCATCGGCATTCCTTGCTGGCCTTCTCTGCGCCAGGCCAGTTTGGGTTTTACAAATTCTGCTGATATGTTAACAATTGTTATACCCAGTATTATTATATCAATTTTATATAGTTTTACAATAGTGGTATACCCATTAACGGTATCAAATAGTAGTATTGATAGTTTGGGTTTTACACTATCTATATCCCTATTTGATGCCATCAATGGGTATAACTATGGGATTCTAAGCTCCAAAGGTTGGAACATTTCGACCCTACAACAATATCGTGATATTCATGGCACGTATACAAGGTGTTATTCAACCTAGATCGCCAAGTTGATCACTACCATAACTACGGTTTATGGATGTTTATGCCTGTGGACCGAAAACCGTTCCCGTAAAACGCACGTTTTTGAATATCGCGATTGTGGAGTGGGGTGGGGTGGGGTGGGGGGGCATGTTAACGTTCCTTGTACTTCGTACATGATATATTGCCATGCTGCTAAGATCTCTGGGATTATTTACTACGTTACATGTTGCTACGCTGCTGAGACCTCTGGGATCGTTTACTACGTTACATGTTGCTACGCTGATAAGATCTCTGGGATCGTGTACTACGTTACATACATGTTGCTACGCTGCTGAGATCTCTGGTATCGTTTACTACGTTACATACATGTTGCTACGCTGCTGAGATCTCTGGGATCGTTTACTACGTTACATACATGTTGCTACGCTGCTGAGATCTCTGGTATCGTTTACTACGTTACATGTTGCTACGCTGCTGAGATCTCTGGGATCGTTTACTACGTTACATACATGTTGCTACGCTGCTGAGGTCTCTGGTATCGTTTACTACGTTACATGTTGCACGCTGCTGAGATCTCTGGGATCGTTTACTACGTTACATGTCGCTACGCTGCTGAGATCTCTGGGATCGTTTACTACGTTACATACATGTTGCTACGCTGCTGAGATCTCTGAGATCTCTGAGAGCTTGGCAATGGAGATGCATTCACAAGAATGCTGCTTGCCAGCTGTTTACTACGCATGCGTTGCAGCGATGACGCTGAAAAACGAAAAAACGCACCCCAAGTTTTTCCAGGATTTCCAATCATCAAATTAGCACGGCACTGTGGTAAAATCACCATTTTTTTAAAAAAGGTGCGTTTTATGGGAACGGTTTCCGGTCCGGCGGGATGTTTATGGTAGATCTCTCTATATAATAAATGGTTTATAAACGAATGTTATAGCTTGGGAGGCACCATAAAATGCATCCTGTGTTTGTTTCTAAACCAGTCGAATTGTGGATATATCTTCCATAAATCCAATCGAAAGCTTAGCTAGAAATCAACCTAGCTATCTTGGGGGCCCCGCATTATGTGGATTTAAGCTCCATTAACCATATCGATACCATAGACCCAACACTTAGCTCGGGTGAACCACCAGCCCGCCATAAAGTTGGTGCCCCGGTTCATTACCTAAATTGCTTTCAAAGTCCAATAACTGGTGCTATTTCCGATATATCTATATATGGGGGTTTCCATCAATGGGGGTATGCAAAAATGGAGCGTTTATAAGGGAACATCCTAATAACATAAATGGATGATGACTGGGCTGACTGGGGGGCATCCCTATTTCAGGAAACCTACATATATAGTTCATGGCAGCAAAGCAACAAACACAACCAGTGGGCCCTTGTTTTCAAATGGTTCGATCCCCTTTGAAAATGAGGTCGTAAGGTCACGCGCTCGGACTCTTCATCGTCACATTGCCTCGGCTGTGTGACTTTCTTGATACCGTAAGAGGATTTGTTATCAAATACTGGGATTAATTATAGTGTTTCTTTTGATAATGGAAATCTACCCTGTAATCTTCATTTACTGGAATATCATGGATACATCATGGGGATAGTTTGTGGTTTTATGGCATATTTCATGGGAAAGAACGGGAGTGTAATAGACATATACAAATATATAGGGATATACAACCCCTAGTATACTAACATTTTTACCCGTGCTTTGTTGTATATTGGTATATATCTGGGTAAATTACAATATTTCACTAACCTGAATTAAGGCCATTTGGGGATGATTTCCCTTATTAACCATGATTCCAGGGCTCGGTCGCAGTGAGGTCGTTACAATTTACTCATATATATATATACAATCACAAGCAATGATGGCTGGTATGCCATTATTAACCCTTTTTAACCATAGCTATACCATTATAGGATGCAGGTATATATATATATGGATATGTATGATTATGGATATTTGTACAACCATTAGTGTATTGGTATGGAAATTTCAACGAAGGATTTTTATGGATTTTGAAGCCATGGAGCTGATGACACCGGATGGTAATGGGGATGTAATAGGCTACATGATAGATTACATCATTTTAAAGGGTTATCATGGGACATATTTTCTGCGGATGAACTATGATGTAAAAAAACATGTAGCCTATTTATACTATATCTATCATCTAACCAATCTCCTAATATGGTTCTATTATGGTTCTATTATGATACATGTAGCCTATCATTTATTAATAATCTATTAATAATGAATCACATTGATAATGGCTAATATTAATATTAACAATGGCTAATATTAATATGATCAGTATTATTAAGTTAATCATCTATTAATAGGGATATAATCTATCATATGGTGAACGTTGCGGGGGTTGGTGAAATCCTCATGAAGGAACAAAACTGAAATCACCATGTTGAAAATGGGTGAATCGTTGAACAAAAAAGGGGTCATTTTCCGTAGCTATGTTCGTTTATTGGGGGATTATACTCTCAGTTAAACTAAAATAGATACAGGATGGGCCCCCCCAGTTATAAGTTGGTTTATATACCCTTATAACCCACATTAACTATAGTTATCTCTACCATAAACCATAGTTAAACCACTTATAAGGCAACTTAGCTATCTTGGGGGCCCCATCTTGTATGATATGGCAAATATTTTTTGATTTCCCCAAGAAATTCATCCACACTTGTCGTTTATTTTCCATTGTGCTCATCCACTTCCATCCATGTTCATCGTCCCACCTTTTGCGAACTGAATGGTTCTTAATAGCAGGAAAACCACTTGCTGGCTCCAGCTAATCCAAGTAAAGGCTATTGATATCTGCATCCCAACTTGAAAACTTCTACACACTGTTTTTGTTGGTATCTCTCAATGGATTGATTTAGTGTAGAAAAATCTCTTCTGTGCAGTCTATGATGGCTATTTTTGATACCTAGCAAAAAGAGAAGTACGAGTCCCGATTTATAACACAACTGTATGTACTCGTTTGACCCTTTCGGCTTGACTGTTGAAACATGTTCACATGACAATTGTGATCAAAGTGAATGGTCAAAACTGAAACATGGAAGTGCCATGATGTTCATGTGAAGATGTTGACTCTTGTCACTTGCCAACGAGGGTCTTTTGGAAAAAAATGTTATCACGTTGCACATGAGTCTCAGCTTGTTATGTATATATACATACAAGTGCCCCCCAACTATATGTTGGTTTGCAACCCCCATTATCCATAG